AGCCAAGGGTCGGTATACGAGAGATCAGTCAGTAAGGCTACCAACAACAGAGGAGGATTAGGCAGGAACAGGGTCAGGACATGAAGTCAGGTACACGTGGAATCAAGATACTGGTAGAAATGAACACTGCTGGGAATAACAAAGAGGAACTGGCACTGAGGGGAATGTGGACGCAGACTAAGTAGACAGAGGGAGAGATGATGATGGGAAGCAGGAAGTCGGGATGGAAAGCAGGCGGAGTTCAATCAAGGGCAGGAAAGCTGAAACTGAAATGAGAGAAACAAAAATAAAAACAGGAACAATAACAAAAACAACAACATGCTGGCTAGGGCCTTACACACACATATATATATATATATATATATATATATATATATACAGTACCAGTCAAAAGTTTGGACACACCTTCTCATTTGCAAACTCTTGGCTTCTCTCAGTCAGCTTCAAAGCTGTCATGAAGGCAAAACGGGGCTACTCTGAAGAATATAAAATAAAAATCATATTCTGGATTTTTTAACACTTTTTTGTGAACTAGATCATTCCGTATGTGTTCTTTTATAGTTTTGATGTCTTCAGTATTCATCTACAATGTAGAAAATAATTAAAATAGATAAAAACCTTTGAATGAGAAGGTGTGTCCATGCTTTTGACTCTTACTATATATATATATTGCACATTAGAAGTATTGCACAACAGGAGTGTAATAGTCTCTGTTGTTACCGCGGTCTTTATTAATAATAACACTACATTGGTGTCAGCGTGTTGGGGCAAGGCAGGACCCAAATGCAGTAATAAAACAAAAGGTCTACAGAAAGCGAGCTTTAATCCAAAAAAAGCAGATGACAGGAAAACAAGGAACAACTTAAAGGTGGGGTAGGTAAGTTTGAGAAACCAGCTCGAGATCGCTAGAATTTGAAAATACACAGCCGGAAAAAATCTGCCACTTCCTTACAGAGCCCCTCCTCCAACACACACGAACGCGCACATGACCAATGAGGGCACGAGATGAGTTTGTGCACAGATGGAAGGCTGACAGGCAGGTAGGCCATCCAGTTATTTTAGCTGGGCCGGCTCAGATGATTGGTCGTGCTTTTTACAGTACTACAGCTTCCACAGATGATATTTCTTTATGGATTTTTTGTCAAAGCACTTCAGATATTCATTGCTATCGGGATGTTAAGAGCATTCCATGGAATATAACAACAAGTGTATCTCGAGCCGGTTTCTCAAACTTACCTACCCCACCTTTAATATTCTTCTTTGTTGGAGTTTACCCCAGTGGACGAGAGGGTCGCCTCCCTACGCCTGCGGGTTATCGGGGGGGAAACTCTGACTGTTGTGTGTGCTTATGCACCAAACAGCAGTTCAGAGTATACGGCCTTCTTGGAGACCCTGAAAAGAGTCCTGTATGGGGCTCCTGAAGGGGACTCTTTAATCTGGCTGGGAGACTTCAACGCACATGTGGACAATGATGGAGACACTTGGAGGGGCGTGATTGGGAGGAACGGCCCCCCTGATCTGAACCGGAGTGGTGGTTTGTTACTGGACTTCTGTGCTAGTCACGGATTGGCCATAACAAACACCATGTTCGAACATAAGGATGCTCATAATTGTACGTGGTACCAGAGCACCCTAGGCAGAAGGTCCATGATCGATTTTGTTATCGTATCATCGGACCTGAGGCCGTATGTTTTGGACACTCGGGTAAAGCGAGGGGCGGAGAACTGATCACCATCTGGTGGTGAGTTGGGTCGAGTGGCGGGGGAAGCCTCTGGACAGACCTGGTAAGCCCAAACGTGTAGTTCGGGTGAACTGGGAACGTCTGGAGGAGGCCCAAGTTCAGGAGGCCTTCAACTCACACCTCCGGCTGAGCTTTTCGGGCATTCCTGTGGAGGCTAGGGACATTGAACCAGAGTGAGCGGTGTTCAAAGCCTCTATTGCCGAAGCCGCGGCGGGGAGCTGTGGTCTGAATGTCTTAGGTGCCTCAAGGGGCGGTAACCCTTGAACCTCCTGGTGGACACCGGTGGTCAGGGAAGCCGTCCAACTGAAGAAGGAGGCCTTCAGGGATATGTTATCCCGGGGGAGTCCCGAGGCAGTTGCAAGGTACCGACAGGCCCTCTACTCAGGGCCATCCAATCTCTGTACTCCCAAAGCGAGAGCTGGGTCCGGGTCCTCGGCAGGAAGTCGGACCCATTTCCGGTGAGGGTTGGCCTCCGCCAGGGCTGCGCTTTGTCAGCAATCCTGTTTGTAATATTCATGGATAGGATTTCGAGGCGTAGTCGTGGGGGAGGGGGTCTGCAGTTCGGTGGGCTAAGGATTGCACCACTGCTTTTTGCAGATGATGTGGTTCTAATGGCTTCATCGGTCTCCGACCTTCAGCTCTCACTGGATCGGTTCGCAACCGAGTGTGAAGCGGCTGGGATGAGGATCAGCACCTCCAAATCTGAGGCCATGGTTCTCAGCCGGAAACCGATGGACTGTCCTCTCCAAGTAGGGAATGAGTCCTAACCCTACCTTAGTAGTGCGTGAGGCCATATGTACAGACATGTACATGGGACATGAAAACAGTGCATCTCATATTGACAACAAAAAACCTTACTAACCGAGTTTTCTAATTCACTCTAAAAATAAGCCGTTGTGATACACGTGTAGGCAACGTCTGCAGAATCATAAATGATCATTACATTGGGGTCATTAAACCATTATTTCGCTAAGATAAAAAACATTAAGGTTTTGGATTTTAGTGTAATTCACAAATGTTCCACCAGATGGTGTCACACACACCCAGGGTGAAAAGATAACATATTTACCCAGGAATAAGTGTCTGAATCATGGGTACATTAGTGGTCAAAGTCGTGGGAACTGTTTTAATTCAGGAGACAGAGTCATTTAATGAAAACTGGTAGTTCACAATGTGCTATTTCAGCAGAAATAGCAGAATCTGAACATGTGCCAGAACTACAATGCATGTTGTCATGCAGTCTTAAACTGGTGAATCTGTTTAAATGCAGGCAGCAGAGTCACTGCTGTTAGCAGGGTCTCAGAGACCCATAGACCCAGGGTGAAAAGATAACATGTTTACCCCGCTAAAGTGTTAACATGGCTATATTAGTGCTCAAACTCGATTAAACTGTTTTAATTCAAATATTTACAGACATCACAGGTCCATCAAACTTGATATATTTACACTTTGTACCCGTTGGAACACACCCACGAAGTTTGGGGGTTGTGCGCCCTTGTTTACCATATTAACCTATTTATCATCCATAATGGCGTGTTTTTCAGACTTAACATTTTTACAAATGTTATAAATTAGTCTAGAGCTCCATCTATTGGAATTTGAGTGTTTTACACGTCTGTCCATGGAATGCGAGTTTAACTGATAGGCAGCTGGAGTAACATGTACATTGAGACGCATTGGGACATATCATCAACACTTTCAATGTTAACCTTGTACATAAGATGCACAATTTGCTTACCCCAAGTGAAGGAGTTCAAGTATCTCGGGGTCTTGTTCTCGAGTGAGGGAACAATGGAGCGTGAGATGAGCCGGAGAATCGGAGCAGCGGGAGTGGTACTGCAGTCGCTTTACCGTGTGAGGAAAAGAGAGCTGAGCCAGAAGGCAAAGCTCTCTGTCTACCGGGCCATTCTCCTTCCTACCCTCACCTATGGTCATGAAGGATGGGTCATGACCTAAAGAACCAGATCGCGGATACAAGCGTCCGAGATGGGTTTTCTCCGCAGGGTGGCTGGCGTCTCCCTTAGGGATAAGGTGAGAGGTTCAGTTATCTGGGAGGGACTCGGAGTTGAACCACTCCTCCTTCGCGGTGGTTCGGGCAAGTAAGGATGCCACCTAGTAAGGATGCCACCTAGTAAGGATGCCACCTGGTAAGGATGCCACCTAGTAAGGATGCCACCTAGTAAGGATGCCACCTGGTAAGGATGTCACCTAGTAAGGATGCCACCTGGTAAGGATGCTACCTGGGTGCCTCCCTAGGGAATCCCTCCCCGTCGAGGCAAGCACTGTAATTCTCTCCGGTTAGTCCACCAGCAGATGACAAACACCCACCTCTCCGCCTCTTCCAAGGAACCAGGGGACCGTGCGGCAGAGTTTCAGTTAGGTTTTCTTTCGCCGGTCAAGATGTCCGTTAAAGTTTCAATCTTCCGGACAAAATTTGAAAAGTGCCGGTCAAAGGTCTTCTTTGTTATTTATTGAGCTTTAAAACAAATGAATAACGACTCTATATAATAAAACACGGAGGACGGAGATCTCTTTTTCTCCCCCAAACCCAAATCTGGATCAGTTTTGATCAGATCCGTTGCAGCCCCTTTTTTAGAGATTTGGGTATGGAGGAAAATAGAGAGGGTTGTGTTTTCTGACACTTGGTGAGTTCCCTGGAACACCGGGGACACATATTCATGTAGAAAAGACGTACACAAGTGCATTTTGCATGATAGGTCCCCTTTAACGTGGAGAGAGAGAGACATGTTAACATGGAGAGAGAGAAAGAGAGAGAGAGACATGTTAACATGGAGAGAGAGAAAGAGAGAGAGAGACATGTTAACGTGGAGAGAGAGAGAGACATGTTAACATGGAGAGAGAGAAAGAGAGAGAGAGACATGTTAACATGGAGAGAGAGAGAGAGAGAGAGAGAGAGAGAGAGAGAGAGAGAGAGAGAGAGAGAGAGAGAGAGAGAGAGAGAGAGAGAGAGAGACATGTTAACGTGGAGAGAGAGAGACTGGGCGAGGCAGAAATATGTTTACAGACAGAGAGAGAGAGAGAGAGAAAGACAGGGAGGGGTGAGACAGGGAGAGAGAGACATGTTAACCTAGAGAGAGAGAGTGAGGGAGGGGTGAGACAGAGAGAGATGTTTACATAGAGAGAGAGAGAGACAGGGAGGTGTGAGACAGGGAGGGAGAGACATGTTAACATGGAGAGAGAGAGAGAGAGAGAGAGAGAGAGAGAGAGAGAGAGAGAGAGAGAGGGGTGAGACAGCCTGCTCCTCCCCCCTCTGGGTTTCAGGGCGGAGGTCTGACAGAGGAAAGTTAGCGCTCAGTCTGAGCGGAGTTTCTAACTTTGTTCCTCTAACTCACTTCTTCATAACTTCTTCTTCACTTCTTCCTCAATTCTTCCTCACATCCTCTTCCTCAGCAACATGTCGGGCGTCGCGTCCACGCTGGCGAAGAAGCGCGCTCTCGCGGCGGGTTTTGGGACCAATGCGAACGCGACTCGGTACCTGAACCAGGACTTCCTCGCGCTGCGGGAGCAGAGCCGCTCCTCCGGGACTTTGTTCTCAGACCCGACCTTCCCCCCCGCTGCGGAGACGCTGGGCTTCAAAGATCTGGGCCGCGGGTCCCCGAAGGTCCGGGGGGTGACCTGGAAGAGACCGACGGTAAGACCTGGTTTGTTTACAGAATACACACACACACACACACACACACACACACACACACACACACACACACACACGCACACACACACACACACACACACGGAAAAACCCCGGAATCCCTGGCATGTCAAATATGTCAGAAAAACCAGAAACACACATTACTCTGTTTTACCACACACACACACGCACACACACACACACACACACGCACACACGCACACACACACACACACACACGGAAAAACCCCGGAATCCCTGGCATGTCAAATATGTCAGAAAAACCAGAAACACACATTACTCTGTTTTACCACACACACGCACACACACACACACACACACACACACACACACACACACACACACACACACGCACACACACACACACACACAAATTATGGATTTATTAGAGATAGAGTACATATGTTACAGATGTGATGGAAATCAGATGATATAGAGTTATTACAGGGTCGTTAGAGTAGAGCTAGTTAGTATAGAGTGGGTGTAGAGCTAGTTAGTATAGAGTGGGTGTAGAGCTAGTTAGTATAGAGTGGGTGTAGAGCTAGTTAGTATAGAGTGGGTGTAGAGCTAGTTAGTATAGAGTGGGTGTAGAGCTAGTTAGTATAGAGTGGGTGTAGAGCTAGTTAGTATAGAGTGGGTGTAGAGCTAGTTAGTATAGAGTGGGTGTAGAGTTAGTTAGTATAGAGTGGGTGTAGAGCTAGTTAGTATAGAGTGGGTGTAGAGCTAGTTAGTATAGAGTGGGTGTACCCAGATGGAACAGGAAGCAGGGCTCAGACTAAACTGAGACTCATTCATCACATTTATTCTGCTGGAGATGAACTGTTATACTGTTATCATATAGGATGATTTCATGTTGCAGGTCACATATAGGATGATTTCATGTTACAGGTCACATATAGGATGATTTCATGTTGCAGGTCACATATAGGATGATTTCATGTTGCAGGTCACATATAGGATGATTTCATGTTGCAGGTCACATATAGGATGATTTCATGTTACAGGTCACATATAGGATGATTTCATGTTACAGTCACATATAGGATGATTTCATGTTGCAGGTCACATATAGGATGATTTCATGTTGCAGGTCACATATAGGATGATTTCATGTTGCAGGTCACATATAGGATGATTTCATGTTACAGGTCACATATAGGATGATTTCATGTTACAGGTCACATATAGGATGATTTCATGTTGCAGGTCACATATAGGATGATTTCATGTTGCAGGTCACATATAGAAATGTAAAGGTGATATATTATAAATGTTTCTTCAGACCTGGATGTATCTGCTCCACCCTGCTACTGCAGCGTTACAGAATTAATGACATATTCATATCATTAAACAAGACCTTTCAAAACTTGTGATGCAAATACTAATTTCAGGATTTAAATTGAAACTGTGTTCAAATAAATACTTAAAAATAATCTGAGGGAAATGTGAGTCATCAGAGATCCTGCATTCCTGAGAGATGAGTCACTACAACCTCAAAAACAGAGAGGAAAACATCACACACACACACACACACACACACACACACACACACACACACACACACACACACACACACACACACACACACACACACACACACACACACACACACACACACACACACACACAAGTCAGTGTGAGTATTATTCACAGTAATAAAGTATGTTCTGCCCCCCCCCCCCCCTTTAGGAACTTGTCTCTGATCCTGAATTCATTGTGGGCGGAGCCAGCAGAACTGACATCTGCCAGGGAGCTTTGGGTGAGTCTTCTGTACCTGAATGCACCACACTCTGCAGACTGTCCCTGAATGCACCACACTCCCCAGACTGTCCCTGAACGCAGCACACTCTGCAGGCTGTAACATGTTCTCAGTAGAGGGTGTGTGTGTGTGTGTGTGTGTGTGTGTGTGTGTGTGTGTGTGTGTGTGTGTGTGTGTGTGTGTGTGTGTGTGTGTGTGTGTGTGTGTGTGTTTGATTCTCAGCAGAGTGTGTGATCAGTAGAGTGTGTGTGTGTGTTTGATTCTCAGCAGAGTGTGTGATCAGCAGAGTGTGTGACCTGAGGCCTGTACTACGAAGCCGGATGTTCTCTTAGCTAACTTCAGGGTAAACTCTGGCTTTCCGGTCCTACGACGCTGGTTCTCTTTTTAGCGGGCTAGATCTCCATGGTAACTGATGCTGAGCGGCTAACCTGGGTTGCAGGCTAAGAGATCAACTCAGTGAAAGCACCGCCTGCTGACCAATCAGAGCTCCGTGTGCAGAGTTTAAAGATATCAAGTCATATTACAGGATAGAGGAAATACAGAAAAACTGCCGTTGCAGGAAAGACGGCCGTGAAAATCACCTGACTGTGTGAACGTGAACATTAATAGAATATCCCCTCCTCCCATCTTCAGAGCAATCTGACTTTTTTTTTTTTTTTTTTTTTTTAACCTTTATTTAACCAGATAAAAAACATTGAGATAAAATCTCATTTTCAATGCTGACCTGGCCAAGAAGGCAGCAACGTTACACATAACACAAACATATAAAATAGAGAGAACATAACAAAGAAAACAAAAGACGAAAAAGCAGTCACTACATTGTGCACATTAGGACAATTAAAAAAGTACACTACTTGTTACTGCAAGAGCAGCTGGTGGTGAGGACTTCAGACAACTTCAATTTAAAACATGAAATAGAGACAAGTGCCATCAGTTTAAGGCGTGATTGAAGGTCATTCCAAGACCAAGGACCATAATAAGAAAGACTCCTTTTTCCAGCCTCAGTCCGTACAGTAGGAACCTGGACCCGTCTCCAGGCACTGGATCTGAGTTTGTAAGAGTCACAAACTGGGGCAAATCTGACACATATGTAGAGTGGAAGCTTACCTAAAATGGCTTTATACATTAATAAAAACCAGTGCTGCATCCTACGCATAGTAAGTGAGGACCATCCAGTTAGGCTATACAATGTGCAATGATGAGTCCTATAGGGTGCATTTGATATATAACGCAGTGCAGCATGGTAGAGTGGGTCAAGTTTGGCCAAAACAGTGGGACAGGCAAATCTATAAATGGTATCACCGTAGTCCAGCTGGGACAGGAATAAGCCAGAGACCAACCTTTTACGGGATGAAATTGAAAAACAACATTTAAGTCTGTAAAGGAAGCCAAGAGTGAATTTCAATTTCTTTGTTAAAACTTCAATATGGTGTTTAAAGTTCAGATTACTGTCCAACCAAAAGCCCAGATATTTGTAGGTATCAACAAATTCAACAGAAACGCCATCAAGGGTGTCAATGGAGAGGCAAGAGGAGGACGCTGACTTGGGAGCAAAAAGCATTGCTTTGGTTTTCTTACTGTTCAATAGCAGTTTAGAATCAAGAAGCGCTGCAGCGTGATACAATCTGATTTTAAATTGGAAACGGCCATATCCAGAGAAGGAGCACACGAGTATACAATAGTGTCATCAGCATACATATGATAGGTAGAAAATTGCATCTGATTACAAATAGTGTTTACATATGATAAAAAGAGCAAGGGCCCCAAGATAGAGCCCTGTGGAACTCCCTTCTCCAAGGTGACAGGGTCAGAGACAGTACTACCCAACCTGACGCATTGAGTACGGTCGGTTAGATAACTCTGAAACCAGCAAATGGCATTGTGACCGAAACGAAACACCAACATAACATTAGACATAATGTGGTGATCTACAGTGTCAAATGCTTTGGCTAGGTCAATAAACAATGCAACACAAACTGACTTCTTATCCAAAGCAGCCTTAATATCGTCTAAGACTTTCAGACTGGCAGTCACAGTACTGTGCTTTGATCTGAATCCAGATTGCATAGGGTTAAGGATGTTGTGTGAATTTAAAAAAAGTTTTAGCTGAGTAGAAACAAGGGACTCAAGAATCTTTGATAACACAGAAAGATTTGAGATAGGACGATAGTTATTCAACTCCGTGGGATCACCAGCTTTCAAGAGGGGCGATACCAGAGCTTGCTTCCACACAGCTGGCAGTGTGTGAGTGGACAGGGAGAGATTAAAAATATCAGTTACTGGTTGTGCTATCATCTGAGCTGCAATTTTTAAAAAGAACGGGTCAAGGCCGTCAGGCCCGGCAGACTTTTTAGGATCAATCGAGTGCAAACCCTGTAAGACTTCAGAGACCGAGAAATAAGCTAAATCAAAAACAGGGGAGTTCAACTCTTGACTATGGCTGTGAGTACGACCATTTAGAGAGTCATGACTTTGCTCATCAAAAATGTGACCAGCCTTTTTGAAGTGAGCATTAAAGGCATTAGACATACCATACTATTATAACATTAGCGTTAAGAAAGCTTACTTAAATATCTGCCACGACAAAAGTAACCGGATCAGAGTAACATTAAGTACAGTCCGCAGCACTGTGAGTGCAGACGGCAATGTGTCCCATTATCATTCATATCATATCACATCATAATGTATCATATATTTCCTTATCTGAGTCAGCTGAGCCGTATCTGGCCGTGCAACACTCACAGTGTCACATACTGGATGCAGAAGTATTATTTTAAGCAACACATTAAGTTGATGAAACACTCGAGTCAAATGTAATTAAAGTCAGATCGTGTCTTAGACGGGGCAGTGATATCATAAACCTGTTAATGTACGCATTCAAACACTTTCTCTGTTACCAGCTGTATTCACCTTGCAGGTGCAGCTATGTGGCTTTGATCCTGGATAAAGTGTTTAAGTCATGGATGTTTAAAGTTTAACTTCTTCATATTTGACTAATATTAAAATTCACTTTTCATTCAGGAAGTATGACGCTGCGCTGTCAGTACGCTTGTCCATGTTTGAGATTGGTCGAATGCTCCAGATACCACCCCTTTCATGTGAACGCGCACCTAACTAGATAGGACACGGCTGGCTTGAGCGATCCACTTGATAACCAGCGTCGTAGGACAGCTTAGCGAGAGCGCGTATGTTTTGGATTGGGCCAACCGGCTAACTCAAACATATCCAGGTTAGGTTGAACCAGCTTCGTAGTACAGGCCTCAGCAGAGTGTGTAATCAGTAGAGTGTGTTTCTGTTTGATTCTCAGCAGAGTGTGATCAGTAGAGTGTGTGATCAGTAGTGTGTGTGTGTGTGTTTGATTCTCAGCAGAGTGTGTGATCAGTAGAGTGTGTGATCAGTAGTGTGTGTGTGTGTGTGTGTTTGATTCTCAGCAGAGTGTGTGATCAGTAGAGTGTGTGTGTGTGTTTGATTCTCAGCAGAGTGTGTGATCAGTAGTGTGTGTGTGTGTGTTTGATTCTCAGCAGAGTGTGTGATCAGTAGAGTGTGTGTGTGTGTTTGATTCTCAGCAGAGTGTGTGATCAGTAGAGTGTGTGTGTGTGTTTGATTCTCAGCAGAGTGTGTGATCAGTAGTGTGTGTGTGTGTGTTTGATTCTCAGCAGAGTGTGTGATCAGTAGAGTGTGTGTGTGTGTTTGATTCTCAGCAGAGTGTGTGATCAGTAGAGTGTGTGTGTGTGTTTGATTCTCAGCAGAGTGTGTGATCAGCAGAGTGTGTGTGTGTGTTTGATTCTCAGCAGAGTGTGTGATCAGTAGAGTGTGTGTGTGTGTTTGATTCTCAGCAGAGTGTGTGATCAGTAGAGTGTGTGTGTGTGTTTGATTCTCAGCAGAGTGTGTGATCAGTAGTGTGTGTGTGTGTGTTTGATTCTCAGCAGAGTGTGTGATCAGCAGAGTGTGTGTGTGTGTTTGATTCTCAGCAGAGTGTGTGATCAGCAGAGTGTGTGTGTGTGTTTGATTCTCAGCAGAGTGTGTGATCAGTAGAGTGTGTGATCAGTAGTGTGTGTGTGTGTGTGTGTTTGATTCTCAGCAGAGTGTGTGATCAGTAGAGTGTGTGATCAGTAGTGTGTGTGTGTGTGTGTGTTTGATTCTCAGCAGAGTGTGTGATCAGTAGAGTGTGTGATCAGTAGTGTGTGTGTGTGTGTATTTGATTCTCAGCAGAGTGTGTGATCAGCAGAGTGTGTGATCAGGAGTTTTTCCAACAGAGGAGTTAATGAGGACCGGCTGCTGGAATCTGAGGGCGTGCCATGCTGAGCCCTGATTGGCTGAGCAGGACAGGAAGAAGCCTGCCAGCTATTGTTGGGGGGGGGGGGGTGGGGACACACCCTTACACACACACACACACACACACACACACACACACACACACACACACACACACACACCCTCCCTGGTGTGGTGTATGAGTCACAGCATGCCGTGCCATTCTAAACCACAGACTCTGTTGTTGAGCAACTTTTAAAGTTTTGTTTCCACATGTTCAAACACTGGGCAGATGAATATGCAAGATTGGATTACGAAAAATGTGCATATATATACATGTATATAAATGTATATACATATATATATATATGTAGCAACGGTCATTATTATGCTTAGTAGCATTGTGTTATCCAGTATTATACACCTGAAATGTTCAAATTGACAAATCAGAATCGAGTATTCAACTAAGCCATGAAATATACTATATTATTTCATGGTGACTTCTGGCTTTTGCTTGTAATGCACGGTGCATCCTGCAGGGGGCAGTAGTGAGCCTTTAATGCCCTGTGCAGGCTGCAGGGGGCAGTAGTGAGCTTGTAATGCACCGTAAAGCCTGCAGGGGGCAGTAGTGAGCTTGTAATGCACCGTAAAGCCTGCAGGGGGCAGTAGTGAGCCTGTAATGCACCGTACAGCCTGCAGGGGACTGTAGTGAGCATGTAATGCCCTGTGCAGCCTGCAGGGGGCAGTAGTGAGCCTGTAATGCACCTTACTGCCTACAGGGGACTGTAGTGAGCATGTAATGCCCTGTGCAGCCTGCAGGGGGCAGTAGTGAGCCTGTAATGCACCTTACTGCCTGCAGGGGGCAGTAGTGAGCTTGTAATGCACCGTAAAGCCTGCAGAGGGCAGTAGTGAGCCTGTAATGCACCTTACCGCCTGCAGGGGACTGTAGTGAGCATGTAATGCCCTGTGCAGCCTGCAGGGGGCAGTAGTGAGCCTGTAATGCACCTTACTGCCTGCAGGGGGCAGTAGTGAGTTTGTAATGCACCGTAAAGCCTGCAGAGGGCAGTAGTGAGCCTGTAATGCACCTTACCGCCTGCAGGGGACTGTAGTGAGCATGTAATGCCCTGTGCAGCCTGCAGGGGGCAGTAGTGAGCCTGTAATGCACCTTACTGCCTGCAGGGGGCAGTAGTGAGCCTGTAATGCACCGTACAGCCTGCAGGGGGCAGTAGTGAGCCTGTAATGCACCGTACAGCCTGCAGAGGGCAGTAGTGAGCCTGTTTCCTGTTTCCTGTCCAGGTGACTGCTGGCTGTTGGCAGCCATCGCCTCCCTGACCCTGAACGAGTATGTGATGGCCAGAGTCGTTCCCACGGACCAGGGCTTTGGTGACGACTACGCTGGCATCTTCCACTTCCAGGTAACAGGGACGTTAGGGGGGCTGGGGTTAAACGGTCCTCTCTGGGGTTAAACGGTCCTCTGGGGTTAAATGGTCCTCTGGGGTTACAGATGAAGGATCGGGGGTTGAACGGTCCTCTTTGGGGTTAAACGGTCCTCTGGGGTTACAGATGAAGGATCTGGGGTAACAGATGAAGGATTGGGGGTTAAACAGTCCTCTCTGGGGTTAAACGGTCCTGTCTGGGGTAACAGATGAAGGATCAGGGGTTAAACGGTCCTCTCTGGGGTTAAACGGTCCTCTCTGGGGTTAAACGGTCCTCTTTGGGGTTAAACGGTCCTCTCTGGGGTAACAGATGAAGGATTGGGGGTTAAACGGTCCTCTCTGGGGTTAAACGGTCCTCTCTGGGGTAACAGATGAAGGATCAGGGGTTAAACGGTCCTCTCTGGGGTTAAACGGTCCTCTCTGGGGTAACAGATGAAGGATCTGGGGTTAAACGGTCCTCTCTGGGGTAACAGATGAAGGATCTGGGGTTAAACGGTGCTCTCTGGGGTTAAACGGTCCTCTCTGGGGTTAAACGGTCCTCTCTGGGGTAACAGATGAAGGATCTGGGGTTAAACGGTCCTCTCTGGGGTAACAGATGAAGGATCTGGGGTTAAACGGTCCTCTCTGGGGTTAAACGGTCCTCTATGGGGTTAAACAGTCCTCTCTGGGGTTAAACGGTCCTCTCTGGGGTAACAGATGAAGGATCTGGGGTTAAACGGTCCTCTCTGGGGTTAAACGGTCCTCTCTGGGGTTAAACGGTCCTCTCTGGGGTAACAGATGAAGGATCTGGGGTTAAACGGTCCTCTCTGGGGTTAAACGGTCCTCTCTGGGGTAACAGATGAAGGATCAGGGGTTAAACGGTCCTCTCTGGGGTTAAACGGTCCTCTCTGGGGTAACAGATGAAGGATCAGGGGTTAAACGGTCCTCTCTGGGGTAACAGATGAAGGATCAGGGGTTAAACGGTCCTCTCTGGGGTTAAACGGTCCTCTTTGGGGTTAAACAGTCCTCTCTGGGGTTAAACGGTCCTCTCTGGGGTTAAACAGTCCTCTCTGGGGTTAAACGGTCCTCTCTGGGGTAACAGATGAAGGATCGGGGGTTAAACGGTCCTCTCTGGGGTTAAACGGTCCTCTCTGGGGTTAAACGGTCCTCTCTGGGGTAACAGATGAAGGATCTGGGGTTAAACGGTCCTCTTTGGGGTTAAACGGTCCTCTCTGGGGTTAAACGGTCCTCTCTGGGGTAACAGATGAAGGATCTGGGGTTAAACGGTCCTCTCTGGGGTTAAACGGTCCTCTCTGGGGTTAAACGGTCCTCTCTGGGGTAACAGATGAAGGATCAGGGGTTAAACGGTCCTCTCTGGGGTTAAACGGTCCTCTCTGGGGTTAAACGGTCCTCTCTGGGGTAACAGATGAAGGATCTGGGGTTAAACGGTCCTCTCTGGGGTTAAACGGTCCTCTCTGGGGTTACAGATGAAGGATCTGGGGTTAAACGGTCCTCTCTGGGGTTAAACGGTCCTCTCTGGGGTTAAACAGTCCTCTCTGGGGTAACAGATGAAGGATCATTGCTGAAGTCAGCTGAGAATCGGTCCACACTTCCTTATTGGAAAACAGAAAGAGGAACTGTTGATTATTACATGTTTCCAGTGGGATTTAACCAGTTAAACCCCACGGCCCGCGGGCGGGGGCAAAACGCAACATCTTGCAAGAAACAGCGTCTGAGGGCTTCTTAACATTTAATAAACTATTAATGTGTCATACCCACTTAACGGGAAGAAACTCAGCTATCAGACAATATTAACCATTTTTAGCAAAACTAAACATAAGGGTAATAACAAAGGCTCTGAATTAGCCCTGAGCTAAAAAATGCTAACACACTTAGCACAGAACTCACGTTAAAATACCCTTATTACTTATCGGATCTGCACAAACAAGATATCGATTAGCAAGCTGAGATTCCACAGAACAGGTATTAGTATCATCACTGAGCGATCAGAACTCGCGGCCAAATGACAACAAACAACAACAAAATAATTAGCTTTACGGGACCAAATCGGAAAATAAGTCTTACCGTTGCTGTTTCTGATCTAAAGTTGTGTTCAATGGCATTAAAATGATAAAAATGCTGCTGAAGGTTAATCCAATGTGTCTGTGTCACTTTGAAATGATTTCTGATAATCCATCAGCAGATTTATGGCAATAACGGAGATTTCATATTAGCTGCTAACGATAGACACCAGAGTGTATGACAGCTTCCGGTTTTGGGCATCCTGGCTGCGCAGCACTCATTCACCAATGGGTAATGTTTAGATGGATTTTAGGAACTTCCCCTCGATTCTATTGGCTCTAACGGTTAAAAAGAGATGTCAAAATCGACCGAGGGGGGCCAGAGATATGGAAAATCCACCCAAATCACCCCAGAAGTGTTTTTTTTTCTAAATCTCTCTTAAAAAGGTCAAATGTCACTTGTTTTGCATCAATCTTGATACAGGGTACTTATTATATGTTGTACTTTGGATTCCTAAAGCTTTTAGTCTACTATCCCATCATTCAAGGGTAGTTTTCACTATAAGTAATGTTTTTCTTTTGGACGGACACTATCATTTACAGTTTCTTACCGTGTTCAATCTGAATTTACTTTAAAATAAACAAATTCTATATTGATTCTGACTTTTCTAAATCCAACTCACAGGCTTATCATTAATTTACCCCTTTTAGAAGTGAATATATAGTCATTTGTTCTGGGAATGTCATTTTCGAGCCTGAGACCTGAAAAACAGGCTCAGGGCTCAACTGTTAAACAACTTGCAGGTTTAAAAACCCAAAGAATAGTGAGGATCATAGAGGAGGGTTGTTCTTGTTCCTGTATTGGAGCAGAGTGTAAAGCTGAAAGCAGAAAGAATGATTCATTAGGAGAGATTTTCAGAGTAAAAGTCTTCACTGTGTGTGTAGTTCTGGCAGTTCTGGGAGTGGGGATTTTCAAAGTAAAAGTCTTCACTGTGTGTGTAGTTCTGGCAGTTCTGGGAGTGGGGATTTTCAAAGTAAAAGTCTCCACTGTGTGTGTAGTTCTGGCAGTTCGGGGAGTGGGGATTTTCAGAGTAAAAGTCTTCACTGTGTGTGTAGTTCTGGCAGTTCGGGGAGTGGGGATTTTCAAAGTAAAAGTCTTCACTGTGTGTGTAGTTCTGGCAGTTCGGGGAGTGGGGATTTTCAAAGTAAAAGTCTTCACTGTGTGTGTAGTTCTGGCAGTTCGGGGAGTGGGTGGACGTTGTGATCGACGACCGGCTGCCGGTGAAAGACGGAGAGCTGCTGTTCGTTCACTCTGCTGAGGGGAGGGAGTTCTGGAGCGCTCTGCTGGAGAAAGCCTACGCCAAGTAAGAGAGACACACACACACACACACACACACACACACACACACACACACACACACACACACACACACACACACACACACACACACACACACTGCTGGAGAGAGCCGACGCCAAGTAAGAGACGAAATCTAGTGAAAGTAGTGACAGTAAAAGTAGTCATTGTGCAGATTGGTCCATTTCAGAATAATATATATGATATGTTTTATAATGATTGATCATGAAAGTGTTCTCAAAGCTGGTAAAGGTGCAGCTAGTTTGAATGACTTTGTATACTGCAGGGTAGCTTGTGAATTTACTCCAGGTGGAACTAAAGTCTGATTTAACGGCCCGTCCACACAGCAGCGTTCAAAAAATCTTCCAACGCTTCTACCCATTCACTTTGAATGGGGTGACGTCACTTTGCCTCACTTTTTGCCGAACTGCATTGTGGGAAGCAGAGCGGAGCTTTCCAGGCATCTCAGGATTCAAAAGTTGAGCAATGTTCAACTTTTGAAGCTGAGGTGGAAGCGTCAGCCAATCAAATCCCGTTTATGCAAATCTGACAGTTCAAGCGCTAGCCAATCAAACGGCGTGTATGCTGGGAGAGACATACCACAGGTCATTTCCTCATATTCCAAAACATGGAGGAGAAATGAGCGGTAGGGAATCACCCGGTGCTTTATGACCAGTCCCTATTTACCTACCGGGATACAAACCGGAGGAGCCAGGCATGGAGGGAGGTGGCAGAGACAGTGGTAGGTTTTCGCCTGTTTGGGGAGTTTATATCCAGTTTACTTCAAACTTTTTTGCTTTGTATGTCAGGGGGCGGGAGATTCATGTGATTGGTTGTTGGTCGCGTTGCTCGCAAAAAATCCCCAAGCTTCAGATACGCCCACCTCCAAGATTTTTTTAACGCTGCTGTGTGGACGCTCCGTAACACTTGATTAGATTTCACATCATTCATCCACATCTGTAAAGTAACTAAAGGGATTAAATACATGTAGTGGAGTAATAGTACACCACGTACCTCTGAACTATAGTGGAGTAGAAGTACACAGTAGCATAGCATGGAAATACTCCAGTAAAGTACAAGTACCTCCGAATTGTACTTAAGTCCAGTACTTGAATAAATGTACCTCTGGGTAGTACACTGAGGATAAACCGTAGTGTTCGATCAGTCGTAGTATCTGCTGCTTTCTGTCACAGGGTGTGCGGCTGCTATGAAGCTCTGTCTGGCGGATCCACCATGGAGGGCTTTGAGGATTTCACTGGAGGCATCGCTGAGAACTTCGACCTGCAGCGCCCCCCTTCAAACCTGTTCCAGATCATGAAGAAGGCGCTGGAGGCCGGAGCCCTGATGGGCTGCTCCATCGACGCGAGTTATCTCCTTTATTCTCAAGGATTTGATTGTCATTTAAGTTGTTCTTATGGTGTTTCTTCTTCCAGGAATGGTGATATCTTATATCAAATAATAAAACTGAAATATTTAGATGAGGGTTAGGGTTAACCCTAACCCTAAACCCTAACGGTTAGAGTTATAGATCAAGGTTGTGATTTTCACTAAGCCGTCCCTGTTGTTGTGGGTTGCAGATCACAAGCGCCTCAGACTCAGAGGCTGTCACTCGTCAGAAACTTGTGAAAGGACACGCCTACTCTCTGACCGGTGCCGTGGAGGTGAGGTCACTGACACCTAACCCTACCCTTCCACTGACACCTAAACCTAACCCTAACCCTTCCACTGACACCTAAACCTAATCCTACCCTTCCACTGACACCTAAACCTAACCCTAACCCTTCCACTGACACCTAAACCTAACCCTACCCTTCCACTGACACCTAACCCTAACCCTTCCACTGACACCTAAACCTAACTCTACCCTTCCACTGACACCTAAACCTAACCCTACCCTTCCACTGACACCTAAACCTAACCCTTCCACTGACACCTAAACCTAACCCTAACCCTTCCACTGACACCTAAACCTAACCCTACCCTTCCACTGACACCTAAACCTAACCCTACCCTTCCACTGACACCTAAACCTAACCCTAACCCTTCCACTGACACCTAACCCGTGGAGGTGAGGTCACGACCCCCGACTGGAAGAGGAGCGATGAAAGGAGATGAAACTAAACAATGTGTTTTCCTTCAGGTGAACTACCGGGGGCGCCAGGAGAAACTGGTGAGGATCAGAAACCCCTGGGGTCAAGTGGAGTGGACCGGGCCCTGGAGCGACGGGTAACCAAACACACCAACACACAGACACACAGCATGACCAAACACACCACAACACACAGACACACAGCATGACCCAAACACACCACAACACACAGACACACAGCATGACCCAAACACATCAAACACACCAACACACAGACACACAGCATGACCCAAACACACCACAACACACAGCATGACCCAAACACACCACACCACAGCATGACCCAAACACACCAAACACACCCACCACACACATGACCCAAACCACCACACACCCAGCATGACCCAAACACACACAAACACACAGCATGACCCAAACACACCAACACACAGCATGACCCAAACACACCAAACACACCAACACACACAGCATGACCCAAACACACCACAACACACAGCATGACCCAAACACACCAAACACACAGCATAGCCCAAACACACCAAACACACCAAACACAGCACAACACACAGCATGACCCAAACACACCACAACACACAGCATGACCCAAACACACCAAACACAGCACAACACACAGCACAACACACAGCATGACCCAAACACACCACAACACACAGCATGACCCAAACACACCAAACACAGCACAACACACAGCATGACCCAAACACACCAACACACAGCATGACCCAAACACACCAAACACACAGCATGACCCAAACACACCAACACACAGCATGACCCAAACACACCACAACACACAGCATGACCCAAACACACCAAACACAGCACAACACACAGCATGACCCAAACACACCACAACACACAGACACACAGCATGACCCAAACACACCACAACACACAGACACACAGCATGACCCAAACACATCAAACACACCAACACACAGACACACAGCATGACCCAAACACACCACAACACACAGCATGACCCAAACACACCAAACACACCACAACACACAGCATGACCCAAAAACAACAACACCCAGCATGACCCAAACACACCAACACACAGCATGACCCAAACACACCAACACACAGCATGACCCAAACACACCAACACACAGCATGACCCAAACACACCAACACACAGCATGACCCAAACACACCCAACACACAGCATGACCCAAACACACCAACACACAGCATGACCCAAACACACCAACACACAGCATGACCCAAACACACCAACACACAGCATGACCCAAACACACCAAACACAGCACAACACACAGCATGACCCAAACACACCACAACACACAGACACACAGCATGACCCAAACACACCACAACACACAGACACACAGCATGACCCAAACACATCAAACACACCAACACACAGACACACAGCATGACCCAAACACACCACAACACACAGCATGACCCAAACACACCACAACACACAGCATGACCCAAACACACCAAACACAGCATGACCCAAACACACCAACACACAGCATGACCCAAACACACCACAACACACAGCATGACCCAAACACACCAACACACAGCATGACCCAAACACACCAAACACACAGCATGACCCAAACACACCAACACACAGCATGACCCAAACACACCAAACACAGCACAACACACAGCATGACCCAAACACACCAACACAGCACAACACACAGCATGACCCAAACACACCACAACACACAGCATGACCCAAACACACCAAACACAGCACAACACACAGCATGACCCAAACACACCAAACACAGCACAACACACAGCATGACCCAAACACACCAACACACAGCATGACCCAAACACACCAACACACAGCATGACCCAAACACACCACAACACACAGCATGACCCAAACACACCAACACACAGCATGACCCAAACACACCAACACACAGCATGACCCAAACACACCACAACACAGACACACATGTATGTTTACTGAGAAAGGTTTTTCAGTCCCTCGGTCTTCCAGTATGTTCTAGTAAATGAGTTCCAGAAGAGGTCAGTTGAAATGAGATGGAGAGCGGTGGCTCGGACAGTGAAGACATTTCTGTTGGTTTTCTTGAAGCCTCACAGAACTCCTTTATGTCCTTTCATTTCCACGTTAAGCTTGGGCTCATGTTTTCATGTTCTGAGACAAACTCAGTGTCATTCAAATCTTTGTCCTCGCACAGATCGATGGAGTGGAACAATGTGCAGGGAGATTGTCCACATGCCAACGCAGAGGACGGCGAGTTCTGGTGAGGACATGAACACACATATGTTAGTATTTATGTGCAGTGGAGGAAATATGTATTTGATTCCTTGGAGGTTTTGTAAGTTTGCTCACTTACAAAGAAATGAACAGTCTATAATTGTAATAGTAGGTTTATTTTAACAGTGAGAGTAAGAATATCAAAAAATATATATGTAATAAATGAGTTCGGTTCAGAGGATAAAACACGTACAACATTAATTCAACTCGATATTTGTTCACTTGAATTTCACTTTGAATGCTTGGATAATCTCAATGGGTGAATACATTTTTTTTTTTACAAAAAAATGACACTGAAGCTTTCTCAGGGTGGGCCAATGAGTAAACTGGGTGGGCCTGGGCCCACCCTGGCCCTATGGTGGCTACGCCACTGGCTCAAAGTAATGACTATTTAGTATGACTGATACACATATTTAAACATAAAAGCTTTTCTCAGACATAAATGAAAGACTTGGTGAGACATAATGGTACTCAGACTGGAAAGGCTTTGTGTATATTCTTGAACAAGCGTCCAAGCAGTCCATCAGGGTGAGCAGAGCCAAGCCAAGATGACCATTCAAGAACCTTGAGGTGTTCCTCCAACAAACTCTCTGTACGGTTTCCTCTCAGTCTACGGACATGTCCTTTGACGGTCGACCAAGCTCTTTCTATATGTTGGGTATGACTGCCGTCTGGGGGTTCACAAACGACCTGCTGTGGTTTATGGTGTAGTGGTTGTACCCCATGTTACTCAGCACTCTCCTGTATGCCCTCCACTCATCACTCATGATGCTACTTCCTGACTTAACATGCCGTCCAATCAGAGGGACACGGTGGCATCTTGATCGTTTCTCCACTAGTTTCAACACTAGTCTCCACCTTTTGTCTTTAACTCCCATCATTCCGAAGACCCATTTCTTCCTTCTCCAGGTATGTCCAAAGCGTCCACGTGCATACTAACAACAAATAAATCATAACATCATCTTAGTTAACAACAAAATGCACACAAATTACAGTAAAAATGGTTGCACATGATGTTTCAAAATGCCATACTTGTTTATTAGGTGCATTGTATAACATAATGTAAGGATAATTATACAGGAATGGTCCATATTGATGATTTTTTAAAATTCTCTTTTACAAGAAAGCCCAGTCTATAACTGCCGAACATAGGAACTGGGTACAGTACCTTCTCCCAGACACAAATACTCAAATAAAATAGTTTACTTTATCAGCATTGGTATTACCAATGCTTACTATTTATTTGATACCAATTTGGTAATACAATTAATAAAAAGAACAAGGTTTGGGTTCGTTCTTCAGATGACTGTGACGTTAACGTGTAAGCTCAATAATGAATTTCAGCTCAACCAACCATATTGTAATATCTAAGTAATCATCTTGAAATATGACATTATTATTTGTAATATACACACATCTTATTGTGAGGTTGATTTCACATACACTACGCCTCTCTTCAACACTACTTTGACGTTAGCTTGTCTACATAATCGAGCATAGCGAATTTAAATGAACCTTAGCGATGCATAAAGTTACCTTCCTAATAAACTATCTCTCTAAGTTACAAGGATGACCTTATTTTACCTTCCTCAAACAGAAGCCGTTTGTATTATCCCACTTAACACTTAACACTTCTCGATTATGTTTTAACTTGGAGGCTACGATCAGCATCGTTAGCACAGATGTATCTACAACTCGCTTACACGCTAACCCAAGCTTTAACATTCATTACGTAGCTGATTAAAATCATAAACACATAAATAAAGTACTCGCATTTCACTTACTGTAAATGTCTGTTTTAACCGCAGAGCGAGTCACAATAGTCCGATATAAGCATGAAGAATAGTCCACAAGGCACCAGCACAACAAAGACGGCCGAGTTCAAGTTATGTTCCCCGGATGAGTTGAGCAGGCAGAGCCCATGTAGCATCACGGAGCTGCTAGCAGAGAGACAGGAAGCTAACAGCAGCAGTCACTGCCATGTATGGTAGTAACTCATTAATAAATGAGAATGTGTTTTACCCTTTACAATAAGAGTCCCTTTTGGCAGTTTTAAATGTTAGTAACTCATAAATAAATGGTCATAAAGAGATGCCAAGAAACATCAAGATGGAAGGGGGAGAATCCACTCAGTGAACAACAGATACCAAGGATGCTGGCTGATGAAAAAGACGAAGTAAGCTAGGTAGCCAATATAAGGCTTAGTCATCTTGCCAAATAGTGAGCCTGTGTTGATGTATGGCAACTATGTTAGAACTGGTTTATAAACGGTTCTTAATGATTGATAAAGTGTTTACAACCTAATTAATAACCTAATTATAAACCCTTTATGAATCCTTGATAAGGGTAGTCTTATTGTAAAGTGGTACCGGTATATTTATACAGAGCTCTTCCCTCTCTCTGCAGGATGTCCTACACCGACTTCCTGCGTCACTACTCTCGGGTGGAGGTTTGCACTCTGACCCCCGACACCATCGACGACGACTCCGTCAAACACTGGAGCGTCACCAAGTTAGACGGCAGCTGGAGGAAAGGGTCCACCGCCGGAGGCTGCAGGAACCACCCCTGTGAGTACAGAACCCTAACCCTCTGTGACCCCTGTGAGTACAGAACCCTAACCCTCTGTGACCCCCAAGTTCCTCTGTGACCCCCCAGACCCTCTGTGACCCCCCAGACCCTCTGTGACCGCCAGACCCACTGTGACCCCCCAGACCCTCTGTGACCCCCCAGACCCACTGTAACCCCTGTGAGTACAGGACTAACCCTTCAGTGTAACCCCTGTGAGTACAGGACTCACCCTTCAGTGTAACCCCTGTGAGTACAGGACTAACCCTTCACTGTAACCCCTGTGAGTACAGGACTAACCCTTCAGTGTAACCCCTGTGAGTACAGGACTCACCCTTCTTCACTGTAACCCCTGTGAGTACAGGACTCACCCTTCTTCACTGTAACCCCTGTGAGTACAGGACTCACCCTTCTTCACTGTAACCCCTGTGAGTACAGGACTCACCCTTCTTCACTGTAACCCCTGTGAGTACAGGACTAACCCTTCAGTGTAACCCCTGTGAGTACAGGACTCACCCTTCTTCACTGTAACCCCTGTGAGTACAGGACTAACCCTTCTTCACTGTAACCCCTGTGAGTACAGGACTAACCCTTCAGTGTAACCCCTGTGAGTACAGGACTAACCCTTCACTGTAACAGGACGTGGTCCTCCTCACTGTAAACGCTGGGTTTGACACCTCTCGATCAGATGTGGGTATTTCTGTGGAAGTAGGAGGTTTAACCTGTTACGCACCGCCCCCCCGGTACCGGGCGGATAAACGCGTCATTTGCAGGAAACAACGTCTAAGGAATCTTAATATTTAATAAACTATGAATGTTTTATATCCATGTAACGAGAAGAAACTCAGCTAACTGATCTTTTAAAAAAAAATTCCCAAAAAAAACCCACAATGCACTCAGCCTCTGAATTAGCCACGAGCGAAAAAATGTAACCTATCACTGCACCTAAACTCACAATAACTCCCTTATTACTTATCCTAGATGCACAGCCAACCCCTCGATTAGCATCTCCTGGAGACACAGAATCTGGGGGTGCCCACCTCAACACTCAGTGATAAACATTTGCGACGCTATAAACGAAAGCGTACATCAAAACATGTGGCGCTAGGTAGCTAAAAACGCTAACATGGCTTACCTTGGTCAAAACTGGTCTTTAATGGCATTAAAACGATAAAAAAACGATGCTGCAGTTAATCCATAGGTTAATCCAATGTATCTGTGCCCTCTTTGAAATGATTTCTGATAATCCATAAGCAATAAAACTGCTTTTTCGTTTCCAAATGTCAGAGCGAGAGATCGCTTCACTCTGGTGCAAACCTGCATGCGGGAACCCCCTCCCCCTTCGATTCTATTGGCTCTAACGGTCAGAAAGAGGTGTCAACCATCAAAATCGACCAAGGGGGGCCAGAGATATGAAAAAAAAAACATTTTCACCCAAATCACCTCAGAGGTGGTTTTGGCTAAACCTCTCTAAAAAGGTCAAATGTCACTTGTTTTGCATCAATCTTGATACAGGGTACTTATTATATGTTGTACTTTTAGTCTACTAACCCATCATCCAAGGGTAGTTTTCACTATAAGTAAAAAAGAATTTTTGGACGGACACTATAATTTACAGTTTTTTACTATGTAAAATCTGAATTGTCTTTAAAATAAAAACATCTATATTGATTCTGACACTTCTACATCCAACTCACAGATGTAACCTTGCTTTGATAAAATAAATTATTCATATAACCCTTTTAGAAGTTAAGTTGTAGTCATTTGTTTTGGGCATGTCATTTTGGAGCCTGAAACATGAAAAACAGGCTAGGTGCTTAACAGGTTAAAGAGTTCTCGCTGTGGTTTCTCCGATGCAGACTCCTTCTGGATGAATCCTCAGATAGTGATCAAGTTGGAGGAGGAGGACGACGACCCGGATGATGGAGAAGTGGGCTGCAGTTTTGTCGTCGGTCTGATCCAGAAGAACCGCAGGAAGCTCCGGAAACAAGGAGAGGACATGCACACCGTCGGGTTTGCCATCTATGATGTGAGAACTGATCGCTTCATGATCAGATCAATAAATAAGCATCTAAAGGATTCAGAGATGTATCCACAGATCCCGGTCCTAACGTACCCTTGCCTTGTTTTCTGTTTTGCTCCAGCTTCCCAAACAGGTGAGCTCTGGACCCAAACATCTCCTCTGGTTTAATGTGAAAGAAAGAATCTCACGGTCGGGAGCCGCATTCTGGATCATCTGCAATTTGATTGGGACCGCCTGAGAATACGAAGTTACAATAGTCCAGACTAGAAGTGACGACCACCACAAAGTGTTGAGATGTTTGTAGTGTTACGTAGAAAAGTCCAGATGACTGACTGCTGTGCTGCAGGCAGGATTAATGCCATAAAGAGTAAATACATCTGTAGATCAATTGTTCCAGGGGTTTTTATGTGGGTAACATTTAAGAGGTCTTCTGTTCGAAAATAACTCTTTAAAACCTGATGAAGGACTAGAGAGATGATGAGCAGGAAGTGTCGGTTAGGACCTGATATATGAAATTAGAGGTGATGAAAGGTTTTAAAGACGATGCTCATTGGCTGTTCCATCTGCCCCCCCCAGTTCTACGGACAGAGGGAGGTCCACCTGGACAAGAACTTCTTCCTGACCCACGCCCAGACCGCCAAGTCCGAGACTTTCACCAACCAGCGGGAGGTCAGCACCCGCTTCAAGCTGCCGCCAGGGGAGTACCTGATCGTCCCGTCCACCTTCGAACCGCACCTCAACGGAGACTTCTGCGTCCGGGTGTTTTCCGAGAAGCAGGCTGAGACCCTGTAAGACCCCAGATGCCCCATGGTGTCTGTTAGAGACCCACATCCATGTCCATTAGAGACCCCCATGGTGTCTGTTAGAGACCCCCATGGTGTCCGTTAGAGACCCCCATGGTGTCCGTTAGAGACCCCCATGGTGTCCGTTAGAGACCCCCATGGTGTCCGTTAGAGACCCCCATGGTGTCTGTTACCATAACCCCTAATCCTGTCTTCTGTCTGCAGACCCTGTGACGACCCGGTGAGCGCTGAACTCGAAGATGTGAGTCTACAGTTTTGTGTCTTATCTCAGTTTTTTATATAAAATATTTGATTTCAGGCTCGATTGAGCTGTTATTATTAATAATAATAACAATAATTCATTCTATTTAGAGGCGTCTTTCAAAGCACCCAAGGACACCTTACAAATCCTAAAATATTCTAAGGAAAGACAAGGTTTAAGACAGTACAAAAGGACCGTAACAGGGAACATGTAGCCCTACAGTGTGTCGGCTGATCTGAACAGGGGGGTTTTGAGGAGGGACTTGAATGTGGTGATTGGTTATTGCTGCAGATCTTTTGTTATTTGTATAAGTCAGGGTCTAGAAAGCCTAACTTTATAAAAAAATCTATATCAGAGGGACTGCTGTCAATATTAAGAGCAGAGCAGGGTGAACCCAAATCCAGGATGTAAGAATGTTCAAGAGAAAAAGCCTTTAATGGCAGGAAATGAGCAGAGCAGGGCAAAACTAAACAATAGGACAATGAACACTTCCGTTCCACACATGACGGACAAGGAAAGAGGAAACCAGAACTGAAATACATGGAGGACCAATCACAGCACATAGCTGGTGAGGAAAAACAGAAAGGCATCAGGTGAACACAATCAGGTGATCCATCAGGAGGGGGAAACACATAGTGAGGAAGTACAAACAGATACGACAGAGGGAACACCTCTGAAATAACCCTGGACCAGGACTGAGGAACCTTTGGGTTAGAGGAGAGAAATATTTCATTCAATAAGGTTTTTAGTGATAACAACTTTGGAAACAGTGTTTTCTATATAAGTGACACAGAACTTGTTGATTTATTTGTTGTTGTATATTACTGTGTTTATAAAGTTTGTATGTCTAGTACTGTGTTAATAAAGTTTGTATGTCTAGTACTGTGTTAATAAAGTTTGTATGTCTAGTACTGTGTTAATAAAGTTTGTATGTCTAGTACTGTGTAAATAACGTTTATTGTTGCCGTGGGGATTGTGTGCAGGAGACAGTGTTGGATGAGGAAGTGGATTCAGGATTCAGAGGCCTCTTCACCAAACTCGCTGGGGACGTAAGTATGACATCACTTCCTGTGTGGTGGGAACATGGACATATGCTACATGCTAACAGCTAACAGCATGTTACATGTATGAAATGTATGAAAATATAGATTAAACATCAGTCTCAAAGTAAATAAAAACTCTTCCAGGACATGGAGATCTCTGCGGTGGAACTGAGGACCATCATGAACAAGATCGTCTCCAAACGTGAGCGTCAACTTCCTGTCACCTGATCACCATTATCTTCAACTTCCTGTCACCTGATCACCATTATCTTTAACTTCCTGTCACCTGATCACCATTATCTTCAACTTCCTGTCACTTGATCACCATTATCTTTAACTTCCTGTCACTTGATCACCATTATCTTCAACTTCCTGTCACCTGATCACCATTATCTTCAACTTCCTGTCACCTGATCACCATTATCTTCAACTTCCTGTCACCTGATCACCATTATCTTCAACTTCCTGTCACTTGATCCCCATTATCTTCAACTTCCTGTCACCTGATCACCATTATCTTCAACTTCCTGTCACTTGATCCCCATTATCTTCAACTTCCTGTCACCTGATCACCATTATCTTCAACTTCCTGTCACCTGATCACCATTATCTTCAACTTCCTGTCACTTGATCACCATTATCTTCAACTTCCTGTCACTTGATCCCCATTATCTTCAACTTCCTGTCACCTGATCACCATTATCTTCAACTTCCTGTCACTTGATCACCATTATCTTCAACTTCCTGTCACCTGATCACCATTATCTTCAACTTCCTGTCACTTGATCACCATTATCTTCAACTTCCTGTCACCTGATCACTATTATCTTCAACTTCCTTTCACCTGATCACCATTATCTTTAACTTCCTGTCACCTGATCACCATTATCTTCAACTTCCTGTCACTTGATCACCATTATCTTCAACTTCCTGTCACTTGATCCCCATTATCTTCAACTTCCTGTCACCTGATCACCATTATCTTCAACTTCCTGTCACTTGATCACCATTATCTTCAACTTCCTGTCACCTGATCACCATTATCTTCAACTTCCTGTCACCTGATCACCATTATCTTTAACTTCCTGTCACCTGATCACCATTATCTTCAACTTCCTGTCACTTGATCACCATTATCTTTAACTTCCTGTCACTTGGTCACCATTATCTTCAACTTCCTGTCACCTGATCACCATTATCTCTAACTTCCTGTCACTTGATCACCATTATCTTCAACTTCCTGTCACCTGATCACCATTATCTTCAACTTCCTGTCACCTGATCACCATTATCTTCAACTTCCTGCCACCTGATCACCATTATCTCTAACTTCCTGTCGCCTGATCTCCATTCTCTAACTTCCTGTCGCCTGATCTCTATTCTCTAACTTCCTGTCGCCTGATCTCCATTCTCTAACTTCCTGTCGCCTGATCTCCATTCTCTAACGTCCTGTCGCCTGATCTCCATTCTCTAACTTCCTGTCGCCTGATCTCCATTCTCTAACTTCCTGTCGCCTGATCTCCATTCTCTAACTTCCTGTCGCCTGATCTCCATTCTCTAACTTCTTGTCGCCTGATCTCCATTCTCTAACTTCCTGTCGCCTGATCTCCATTCTCTAACTTCCTGTCACCTGATCACACCATTATCTCTAACTTCCTGTCGCCTGATCTCCATTCTCTAACTTCCTGTCGCCTGATCTCCATTCTCTAACTTCCTGTCGCCTGATCTCCATTCTCTAACTTCCTGTCGCCTGATCTCCATTCTCTAACTGCCTGTCGCCTGATCTCCATTCTCTAACTTCCTGTCGCCTGATCTCCATTCTCTAACTTCCTGTCGCCTGATCTCCATTCTCTAACTTCCTGTCGCCTGATCTCCATTCTCTAACTTCCTGTCGCCTGATCTCCATTCTCTAACTTCCTGTCGCCTGATCTCCAGTTCTCTAACTTCCTGTCGCCTGATCTCCATTCTCTAACTTCCTGTCGCCTGATCTCCATTCTCTAAACTTCCCTGTCGCCTGATCTCCATTCTCTAACTTCCTGTCGCCTGATCTCCATTCTCTAACTTCCTGTCGCCTGATCTCCATTCTCTAACTTCCTGTCGCCTGATCTCCATTCTCTAACTTCCTGTCGCCTGATCTCCATTCTCTAACTTCCTGTCGCCTGATCTCCATTCTCTAACTTCCTGTCGCCTGATCTCCCTTCTCTAACTTCCTGTCGCCTGATCTCCATTCTCTAACTTCCTGTCGCCTGATCTCCATTCTCTAACTTCCTGTCTGTTGTCCACAGGGACGGACATAAAGACAGACGGCTTCAGCATGGAGACGTCCAGGATCATGGTGAACCTGATGGACGTATCCTTTAAACCATAAAGACACTCACCCCCGGTGTCATATTCATATTAACATTATTAATAATATTATTACTACTAATAATACTATTAATAACTTGTAGCTTTATCTTTGTAAAATACTGTCACTGCAAAAATACTGGTACATAAGGTTTAGGCCAGATTGCCCCCTGTCATGTATAAAGCTGTTGAAGGTCCTGAACCTCTGACAGGACAGCGGCAACGGGAGGCTGGGCCTCGGAGAGTTCGCCACCCTGTGGAAGAAGGTGCAGAGATACCTGGTAAGACCTGTACACACAGGTACCTGAACTCACCTGCACACTGTCTATAGACCTGTACACACAGGTACCTGAACTCACCTGCACACTGTCTATAGACCTGTACACACAGGTACCTGAACTCACCTGCACACTGTCTGTAGACCTGTACACACAGGTACCTGAACTCACCTGCACACTGTCTGTAGACCTGTACACACAGGTACCTGAACTCACCTGTACACTGTCTGTAGACCTGTACACACAGGTACCTGAACTCACCTGCACACTGTCTGTAGACCTGTACACACAGGTACCTGAACTCACCTGCACACTGTCTGTAGACCTGTACACACAGGTACCTGAACTCACCTGCACACTGTCTGTAGACCTGTACACACAGGTACCTGAACTCACCTGCACACTGTCTGTAGACCTGTACACACAGGTACCTGAACTCACCTGCACACTGTCTATAGACCTGTACACACAGGTACCTGAACTCACCTGCACACTGTCTATAGACCTGTACACACAGGTACCTGAACTCACCTGCACACTGTCTGTAGACCTGTACACACAGGTACCTGAACTCACCTGCACACTGTCTATAGACCTGTACACACAGGTAACTGAACTCACCTGCACACTGTCTGTAGACCTGTACACACAGGTACCTGAACTCACCTGCACACTGTCTATAGACCTGTACACACAGGTACCTGAACTCACCTGCACACTGTCTGTAGACCTTTATTATCTGAGAAGGTTCTTAATGTTCTGCAGACGATCTACAAGCAGAACGACATGGATAACTCGGGGACGATGAGCACTCCTGAGATGAGGGTCGCATTCAAAGATGCAGGTGAGGTTCCTCCTACTCCTCTTCTTCCTCCTCCTCCTCCTCCTCCTCCTCCTCAGTTATCCTCAGATGATATGTATCCCTGCATCAGATGAGGGTGTGGGTTCAGTAATAGTGTAGTGGAGTAAAAATACCAGGTTAACCTCTGAATTGTAGTGGAGTAGAATTACAAAGTAACAATGAGCTGTCATGTGGGTATATATTAATGCTGCCCATTATGGACACAAGCCATTTTCACCCATTTATTAATTATATGTTTTAAATTTGATAACTCCAATGTGTTTCATATCCCCTAAACCTCCAGGGATGTACACAGTTTAATACTGGCAACTTCTAATTGTGGGAAAAACGTCTTTTAAAACTACAATTCCCAGTAGAGACGTGCCATAGAACATGTTGCGAAACACAATAGCCAGCATGTGTAGTTCTGGGGGAGGGGGGGGGGGGCTGGACCCGTTCGAGTCCAGTTTTGGATAGTCTGCCGTGGGTTTCATTCCATTTCAAAGAGTTGTCTGACGCTCGGCGTAACCTTAGCACACTGCCACTCCAACATCCAATCACAGAGCTTGAAGATTAATCACAGGGTTTGTCAAGCAACAGGGCTGTAGTCCCAAACGATAGCTGAGGATTATGGGTAGTGTAGTGTCTTCGGCCATCCTAAACTCCGAAATGTTTTTTGGATTTCATATCGCATAAACACCATATCCCAACGAGCATTGCGGCTAAAACATCCAATCACTGAGCTTCAAGCTGAGGATCTTGGGTAATCAGTTCAGTGGGTGTGTGGTGTGTATCGCAATGATGCTCGAAATGTCCCTTGTAGGCCTACGTCTGTTTCCGGTGACTTTATTTTGAAATTCAGTTCCTGACGGACGACCAAAAAGCCAGAGATTATAGAATTAAACAAAATAAATAAAAACAAGGATAATTGTGTGTTATTGTTGAGTAAATAACAGTGTGTTATTTAGAAAAGAATAACAATTAGAAGGAAAAAAAGATTTGAAAAATACAGATTTCAGTATTCCGAGGCTCATATTTATTTCCTCGCGGACCGGCAAAGAAAGTCCGACATTATACGATTTAAAATAAAAACAATAATCGTGGCTTGATATTGAGTAAGAACATGTTTTTATGAACCAACACAGCTTCTGGTCTTCCAAGACCCGACCGGTCAAAAACAACGTGTTGCAGGCACGAAATATAACTACCAATAGAAATACATTGCTTTTAAGAATCGGTTCTGTGTGACACGAAAAAAGGGGAAAATCGTGTTGGTGAACACGAATACAATAGATTAAATGTCGTGATTATATACACGAAAGGCCGTGAGACTGGGTTGGAGTGTTGTGTGCAACTTTGCACCAAGATGAGTCTCAGAGGTTAGTCTCGGGGGTTAGTGGCTGAAGTGTTAGCATGACGAAGTTGATAATGATGAAGCTCTCTCTCCAGGTTTCACCCTCAACAACACCATCTACCAGCTGCTGGTGGCCCGCTACTCCGACCCCGACATGACCATCGACTTCGACAACTTTGTGGGCTGCCTGATGAGGCTGGAGATGATGTTCAGTGAGTCTTACGCTAACAGAGTTAGGGGAAGCTAACAGAGGGAGCTACCAGGGAAGCTAACAGAGAGAGCTAACAGAGGAATGCTAACGTGAGGGAGCTAACAGAAGAGAGCTAACAGGGAAGCTAACATAGGAAGCTAACAGGGGAAGCTAACAGAAGGGAGCTACAGAGGGAGCTAACAGGGGAAGCTACAGGGGAAGCTAACAGAAGGAGCTAACAGAGGGAGGTAACAGGGGAAGCTAACAGGGAACGAAGAGGGGAAAACTAAACAGGGGAAGCTAACGGAGGGAGCTAACAGAGGGAGCTAACAGGGGAAGCTAACAGGTGAAGCTAACAGAGGGAGCTAACAGAGGGAGCTAACAGGGGAAGCTTACGGAGGGAGCTAACAGAGGGAGCTAACAGGGGAAGCTAACAGGGGAAGCTAACAGGGGAAGCTAACAGAGGGAGCTACAGGGGAAGCTTACAGAGGGAGCTAACAGAGGGAGCTAACAGGGGAAGCTAACAGGGGAAGCTAACAGAGGGAGCTAACAGGTGAAGCTAACAGAGGGAGCTAACAGGGGAAGCTTACAGAGGGAGCTAACAGAGGGAGCTAACAGAGGGAGCTAACAGAGGGAGCTAACAGGGGAAGCTAACAGGGGAAGCTAACAGAGGGAGCTAACAGGTGAAGCTAACAGAGGGAGCTAACAGGGGAAGCTTACAGAGGGAGCTAACAGAGGGAGCTAACAGGGGAAGCTAACAGGGGAAGCTAACAGAGGGAGCTAACAGGGGGAGCTAACAGGGGAAGCTAACAGGGGAAGCTAACAGGGGAAGCTAACAGGGGAAGCTAACAGAGGAGCTAACAGGTGAAGCTAACAGAGGGAGCTAACAGGGGAAGCTTACAGAGGGAGCTAACAGAGGGAGCTAACAGAGGGAGCTAACAGAGGGAGCTAACAGGGGAAGCTAACAGGGGAAGCTAACAGAGGGAGCTAACAGGTGAAGCTAACAGAGGGAGCTAACAGGGGAAGCTTACAGAGGGAGCTAACAGAGGGGAGCTAACAGGGGAAGCTAACAGGGGAAGCTAACAGAGGGAGCTAACAGGGGAAGCTAACAGAGGGAGCTAACAGGGGAAGCTAACAGAGGGAGCTAACAGAGGGAGCTAACAGGGGAAGCTAACAGGGGAAGCTAACAGAGGGAGCTAACAGAGGGAGCTAACAGAGGGAGCTAACAGGGGAAGCTAACAGGGGAAGCTAAGAGGGGAAGCTAACAGGGGAAGCTTACAGAGGGAGCTTACAGAGGGAGCTAACAGAGGGAGCTAACAGGGGAAGCTAACAGGGGAAGCTAACAGAGGGAGCTAACAGAGGGAGGTAACAGGGGAAGCTAACAGGGGAAGCTAACAGAGGGAGCTAACAGGGGAAGCTTACAGAGGGCGCTAACAGAGGGAGCTAACAGGGGAAGCTAACAGGGGAAGCTAACAGAGGGAGCTAACATGGGAAGCTAACTGTTCAGGTGTCTCTCCGAGGCTGCGTCTCATGTCTCTTTTTCGTCATTTCCTCGGTCCACGCTCCCACTGGAAGTTGATTTTTGTTCACCATCTTAATGAGCGTTCCATGGCGCTTATTTGTGCCGGAGGACCGATAAGTGATGACCGAGGAGCGTTTGTTTCTGAAGCTTTTTGTGAATAGTTTCTTTACACCCCTGTTGGTCACTAACTGACTAGTCAGTTAGTGACCAACAGGGGTGTAAAGTAACTAAGTACATTTACTAAGGTACTGTACTTAAGTACTATTTTGAGATACTTGTACATTACTTTAGTATTTTAAATGAGTTTAAATTATTAAATATGAACACAAACTGACGGTGAAGATAAGACTAGCTGACGTTGGTTTTCCTCCTCAGAGATCTTCAAGAAGCTCGATCCTCACGAGAGCGGATCCATCGAGCTCGACTTCAACGCGGTGAGGAAGTAACCCTTTAATAACCTTTTTAAGTTAAAACACACATTCAGAGTCTCAAGAACCAAGATACGACCCATTGCATTATTATATAATGGAAAAGATCGTCAGTTATGCTGACTAACTGGAATAATGCATGTTTTCGTCATGTGCTTGTCTGATGCATGTCTAGTTATCTTTCTTATCAATGTAATCCATTACATAACTAGTTACAAAATAAGTAATCTGAGTATCACAACATAAAAGTAATCTGATTACTTCCCGTTCCTTTTGACCTCAGTATCAATTGCAACGCAAATACAAAGCAGAAAATAAATAACATAAGACTTTTACTGAAGTGTAACATCAGATGTTTCATATCAGAAATGTAGAAACAGTAATAGATGACCAATGCTGTTTAAGTTTAACACAATACTTGCTAAAAAGAAATGTGTTTAAAATAAAGTATAAACCATAAAGAAAAAATGTATTCAGTACCTATAACATCTTTATTCCAACAACTCAGTATCCTGCTGGTAATGTAGCAGTAGTCTTAATTACTTATTTTATGCAGTCACCTGATCAGTAATCCATTATTCCCCAAGTAGCATGTCTGATGTGTGACCTCACTTCCTGTCTCTTCCTGCAGTGGATCAACTTTTCCATGATCTGATCTGGAGCGTCCTGCAGTTCTCATCCCAGATATAACATGATTACATGTAATATAACATGATTAAATGTAATGTAACATTATTACATATAATGTAACATGACACATATAATGTAACATGACACATATAATGTTTCTCTTCCTGTCACTACCTGACTGACTCTGAGTAACTCAAATAAAGTCTCTCACAAACCTTTAACAGCTGTCATCATTTATCAGCGGTGAACATTTACTCAATAATAATAAGCTTTATTTAGACAGCACTCTTCTTGCAACAGGTACAGAAACACATGAAACAACATGGATAACACACAAAGCACAACATGGATAACACATGATTACAACATGGATAACACACAAAGCACAACATGGATAACACACAAAGCACAACATGGATAACACACAAAGCACAACATGGATAACACATGATTACAACATGGATAACAAACAAAGCACAAACATGGACACATGATTACAACATGGATAACACACAAAGCACAACATGGATACCACACAAAGCACAACATGGATACCACATGATTACAACATGGATAACACACAAAGCACAACATGGATAACACACAAAGCACAACATGGATACCACACAAAGCACAACATGGATAACACACAAAGCACAACATGGATAACACACAAAGCACAACATGGATAACACACAAAGCACAACATGGATAACACCCAAAGCACAACATGGATAACACACAAAGCACAACATGGATAACACACAAAGCACAACATGGATAACACACAAAGCACAACATGGATAACACATGATTACAACATGGATAACACACAAAGCACAACATGGATAACACACAAAGCACAACATGGATAACACACAAAGCACAACATGGATAACACATGATTACAACATGGATAACACACAAAGCACAACATGGATAACACACAAAGCACAACATGGATAACACATGATTACAACATGGATAACACACAAAGCACAACATGGATAACACACAAGCACAAATGGATAACACATGATTACAACATGGATAACACACAAAGCACAACATGGATAACACAAAGCACAACATGGATAACACATGATTACAACATGGATACCACACAAAGCACAACATGGATAACACACAAAGCACAACATGGATAACACACAAAGCACAACATGGATAACACACAAAGCACAACATGGATACCACACAAAGCACAACATGGATAACACATGATTACAACATGGATAACACAAAGCACAACATGGATAACACACAAAGCACAACATGGATAACACACAAAGCACAACATGGATAACACATGATTACAACATGGATAACACACAAAGCACAACATGGATAACACACAAAGCACAACATGGATAACACATGATTACAACATGGATAACACACAAAGCACAACATGGATACCACACAAAGCACAACATGGATAACACACAAAGCACAACATGGATAACACACAAAGCACAACATGGATACCACACAAAGCACAACATGGATAACACATGATTACAACATGGATAACACACAAAGCACAACATGGATAACACACAAAGCACAACATGGATAACACACAAAGCACAACATGGATACCACACAAAGCACAACATGGATAACACACAAAGCACAACATGGATAACACACAAAGCACAACATGGATACCACACAAAGCACAACATGGAAACACAAAGCACAACATGGAAACACATGATTAAACATGGATAACACACAAAGCACAACATGGATAACACACAAGCACAACATGGATAACACACAAAGCACAACATGGATACCACAAAGCACAACATGGATAACACACAAAGCACAACATGGAACACACAAAGCACAACATGGATACCACACAAGCACAACATGGATAACACACAAAGCACAACATGGATAACACATGATTACAACATGGATAACACACAAAGCACAACATGGATACCACACAAAGCACAACATGGATAACACAGATTACAACATGGATAACACACAAAGCACAACATGGATAACACATGATTACAACATGGATAACACACAAAGCACAACATGGATACCACACAAAGCACAACATGGATAACACATGATTACAACATGGATAACACACAAAGCACAACATGGATAACACACAAAGCACAACATGGATACCACATGATTACAACATGGATAACACACAAAGCACAACATGGATAACACACAAAGCACAACATGGATAACACACAAAGCACAACATGGATAAACATGATTACAACATGGATAACACACAAAGCACAACATGGATACCACACAAAGCACAACATGGATAACACATGATTACAACATGGATAACACACAAAGCACAACATGGATACCACATGATTACAACATGGATAACACACAAAGCACAACATGGATACCACACAAAGCACAACATGGATAACACACAAAGCACAACATGGATAACACACAAAGCACAACATGGATAACACATGATTACAACATGGATAACACACAAAGCACAACATGGATAACACACAAAGCACAACATGGATACCACACAAAGCACAACATGGATACCACACAAAGCACAACATGGATACCACATGATTACAACATGGATAACACACAAAGCACAACATGGATAACACACAAAGCACAACATGGATACCACACAAAGCACAACATGGATACCACACAAAGCACAACATGGATACCACACAAAGCACAACATGGATAACACACAAAGCACAACATGGATAACACACAAAGCACAACATGGATAACACACAAAGCACAACATGGATAACACACAAAGCACAACATGGATAACACACAAAGCACAACATGGATAACACACAAAGCACAACATGGATACCACACAAAGCACAACATGGATACCACATGATTACAACATGGATAACACACAAAGCACAACATGGATAACACACAAAGCACAACATGGATACCACACAAAGCACAACATGGATAACACATGATTACAACATGGATAACACACAAAGCACAACATGGATAACACACACACACACACCAGGGATAACACACACACACACACCGGGATAACACCACACACCTGGATAACACACACACACCAGGGATAACAAACACACACCCTGGGTGGGATACACACAAACCACACACCTGGGATAACAAAACACACACACACCTGGATAACACACAAACACACATGGATACCACACAAAGCACAACATGGATAACACATGATTACAACATGGATAACACACAAAGCACAACATGGATAACACACAAAGCACAACATGGATAACACACAAAGCACAACATGGATAACACACAAAGCACAACATGGATACCACACAAAGCACAACATGGATAACACATGATTACAACATGGATAACACACAAAGCACAACATGGATAACACACAAAGCACAACATGGATAACACACAAAGCACAACATGGATCCATGATTACAACATGGATAACACACAAAGCACAACATGGATAACACACAAAGCACAACATGGATAACACACAAAGCACAACATGGATAACACACAAAGCACAACATGGATAACACACAAAGCACAACATGGATAACACATGATTACAACATGGATAACACACAAAGCACAACATGGATAACACACAAAGCACAACATGGATAACACATGATTACAACATGGATAACACACAAAGCACAACATGGATAACACATGATTACAACATGGATAACACACAAAGCACAACATGGATAACACATGATTACAACATGGATACCACACAAAGCACAACATGGATAACACATGATTACAACATGGATAACACACAAAGCACAACATGGATAACACACAAAGCACAACATGGATAACACATGATTACAACATGGATACCACACAAAGCACAACATGGATAACACACAAAGCACAACATGGATAACACATGATTACAACATGGATAACACACAAAGCACAACATGGATAACACACAAGCACAACATGGATAACACACAAAGCACAACATGGATAACACACAAAGCACAACATGGATAACACATGATTACAACATGGATAACACACAAAGCACAACATGGATAACACATGATTACAACATGGATAACACACAAAGCACAACATGGATAACACACAAAGCACAACATGGATAACACACAAAGCACAACATGGATAACACAGATTACAACATGGATAACACACAAAGCACAACATGGATACCACACAAAGCACAACATGGATAACACATGATTACAACATGGATAACACACAAAGCACAACATGGATACCACACAAAGCACAACATGGATAACACATGATTCAACATGGATACACACAAAGCACAACATGGATACACACAAGCACAACATGGATAACACACAAAGCACAACATGGATAACACACAAAGCACAACATGGATAACACCAAAGCACAACATGGATACCACACAAAGCACAACATGGATACCACATGATTACAACATGGATAACACACAAAGCACAACATGGATAACACACAAAGCACAACATGGATACCACACAAAGCACAACATGGATAACACACAAAGCACAACATGGATAACACATGATTACAACATGGATAACACACAAAGCACAACATGGATAACACACAAAGCACAACATGGATAACACATGATTACAACATGGATAACA